AGAGAGAGAGAGATGCAACCATATATTGTTTACCTTCTTTGAAAAACTGTGGTTACCTTCGAAAAACAGGGGAGATGAGTTCGCTGTGATGCAACCATATATTTTTTACCTTCTTTGAAAAACTGTGATTACCTTCGAAAAACAGGGGAGATGAGTTCGCTGTTCTGCCTCTGTTCTCTCGACCTACACTTTGCCTACCCTTTTATGTTTACATTTTGGAAAAAGTTTTTGTAAGGATGCAACCTTATATTGTAGAGCTACGAGCTCTACCTTGTGTTCTCTTCTCGATTTACACTTTACCTTCCCTTTTATGTTTACATTTTGGAAAAAGTTTTTGTAAGGTTGTAGAGCTATGGATGCACCTCAAAAATCATCGAAAAAGGTAGTTTTAATGCTGAAAAACCCTTTGATTGACCATCTAAATATCGAGATATATGACTATGATAAATAAAAAGATTTTCAGTCCTAAAAATAATGTATTTTACAACATATTATCTACATTGCCTATTTTCAAGATTTCCATATGTTTATGGATATACTTGATTTTAATGTGAACAAATATATGGTTTATTTCTTGCTATGTTTTTAACTAGGTATGATATTTTTTAAAGTATTTAATGTAAAAATTTATATGTATTTTTTTGGTATGTACTAAGTAGGTGTGATGTTTGTTAAAACATTTAATGAAGAAATTCATATGTTGTATTTACCATGAACTTATTATTTTATTTTTTATAAAGGGCATGAACCCTTAATATGTGTAGACTTATATATTCTATATTTTTTATTTTATTAAAATACAGGAAATAGATACCATGATTAGGTCAAAAGATCCACTTTGGGAGTATCGTGAAGAAAGATGGTATAAATTGTATTGCAATTTTTATTTTTCGAATTTCAAAATTTCTAACATTTTAATTTATCCGATTTTTAAAGCCTAATCCGATATATTAACGATATCTTTACATGAAGTATTTTTGCCTATTCGTATTTTTTAACCGAAATTTTCATCCAACTTTTTAAAATAAAAACAATTTATTCTCGATTTTAAGCTAAGCCAATTTATTAAAAGTTCTTGACTTGCTAACTATGATACGCCGATTTATTAAAAGTTCCCGACTTGAACTATGATTGTATCAATCCGACGGTTTTCTACCCTGACCCAATAGTTCACCTTTGATCATTATACATCCTACAGGATGTCACGTGAGCTTGTACGGATAAAAACATTTCAGTATAAATAACGCCTCTCTCTCTCTATATATGAAACTTTCTCTCTCGCCCCCTATAACCCCCCTCTCTCTCTTTATTTCTTGTATTGTGTTTTTGCTCTCATAATGCCTTGCTTTGGTTAATTGATACCATATTGCGATCAATGTCGTGGTATTATTAAACCTGTAATTTTCCTTGTATTAAATCTGTAATTTTAATTGACACCATATTGTGATTCAATTTCATGGTTGTGCTAAACCTGTTAATTAAAGTATTTGAAAGTTCTAATAAATTTACAATTTGGGTTATAGGAAAAGAAAAATTGTTTCATGCGGGTTGGACTGCATTTCTACATATATGGCCCAAAAAGTGTAAAACATCCATTTTAAATATGGATGCAAGCAGGTGTTCTATCTAAAAATAATGGAAACTAACAATGGCCTAAATATTTTCTTACTAAAATTACTTTTTATATTTTTAAAATTTATTTATTTATTTTATATTCATGATCTCTATGTTAGAGATTCTATGTTTTTAAAAATTAAGTCTTAAAATCCATCTAAAAAATTAAATCTTAAAATCTATTTAAAAAATAGATTTATTAAGAGGCCTGCATTTCTACGTATGCTGGCTTGGCCGCATAGAAGCGAGATCCATAGGAAAATTCTGATTTTTTCGTTGGAAATGCTAATTCTAGGAAATGCCAATGTCAGGATACACTTGTCTTCAGGAGTCCCATTTCCAGGGAACCAAACGTGCCCTGAAAGAAAGCTCCTTGACTCTTATTCCGAGTATATAAAGAGGACCGCCCCTTCCTTCCCTTTCATCACATTCCGACCTTCCCATTTTAAGCTTTGCAGTCAGATCCCGGCTTCCATCGCCTTCTCACAACAAATTGGTGCTCTTCTTCCAGGTTGGTTTATTTACTCCCCTTCAATTTAATGTGATTCATATACCAGTGTTTCATTTGTTTGTAGTTTACTGAAATTTTAGGGCTTATCATTGAAAGTTAGGGTTTATCCTCGTTCTTTGATTACTGGTATGAATTCCTTTCTTTTGTATTTGGAGGAAATTTTAGGTTTTCTTTGTTTGTTCATATATATGAAAACTATGGTTTGCGGAAGTTGAAACATTTAAACGTCACTCATAAATGGAGTGGGTGAGGGCCAAGCGACGAACCGAGAGAAAAAGGAAACAGAAAAAAAAAAAGGAGGTTTTCGTACCATCTTCTCATTCATCTCCAAAAGCCACTCGGCTTGGTCCGGGAACATTATTGGGTGCACTACTCAGGAACCCATTTTGGAAAGGTTCATGCATTATCTTATTTACTGTCGAAACCACAACGTGGTGACTAGGGTGTGGGGGTGCTACCACCACGACCCTAGCCCCTTTCCAAGAATAGGGACTTTTAGAAAACGAAATATGGGAGAGTGATAGATCATTTGGGGTTGTTTTTGCGGGCTGTGGCAAAACTCAGTCTCTAGGGCTTGTTTCCCGCAACGGCATCAACCCACTCTTGTTTGAAACCCGTAAGTATAGTCAACCATATTTTGATCGTTTAATTTATTGTTGCAAAATAGAAAAAATCTGTTTTTTTTGTGGGTTTTTGCAAGAAATCTTGTAATGAGCCTGGAATCTATTGATTAGTTATCATTCAATCTCAACCCAATATCCATTATGTGGCGGTACTTTTTCATGTGTAAAAATGCTTTTTTATGTGGGTTTTTACTTTTCTCTCTCTCTAAAACTCTTTGCGATTTTCTCCAAGCAAGACTTTTCTTTTTGAATGATTGAATGAACTTTGAAGCTGATATTATTAGGGATGTTTTGATTTAAATTGTGGTCGGTCCTCAAATCTTAGGTATATCTGCTTTTCAAGCTTACTGTTTATGCAATTTGTTTTGCTGTTTTTTTCAAAATAGTAAAGACCTCACCATGAAAGTATTTAAGATTTTGAACCTACATAAAGATATTATGAAGTATAGACTCATAATTTACTCATTTGCTATTACAAGTTGAATTTTTTTCACGTGGATTTGTTTTTTTCATATGAAAAAAATGCTGAGATCTTGAGACAGATTCATTATTTTGTTATATTTGTTAATTCAATGTAATTTCTTTTTTTTTTATGTAAAGTAAAATCGACAAAACACAATTTTCTCTTTTTTCTATTTTTTTTCTTATTTTTCTGTGAAAATTCATAATGAAATTACTTGCATCTAATATTTGTTTGTCAATGAGTATTTACTTATTGATTGATGTATTATTTTTGTTTCTATTAATCTTTTGAAGTTTTCTTGTTTTTCAGATTTTTTTCTTTTTCATAATTTTCTCTATTTTCCCTTTTTCCTTATTACTTCATATTTTATTCTTCATCATCATCTTCGGATTTTATTAATTTTTTGATTTATTGAACCGGTCTGGCCATGAACCGGCCGCGTTCGGCCGATCCAACTAGACCTGTGCTCGACTTTTTGCCAAATTAATTTTTTGCCTCGGACTTTTTGGAGAAAATCTGACTTAGTACTAGTATTTTGGTTCGTCGATATATTATTAATCCCTGATTTAACTATGGTTTCAACATCATGGGCCGAATCTTGATTGATTACTTGGAAGTAGTTTCCTCATTAACATTCACATTTCAAACATTTTTTTGATCTATGAATTAATTCCAACTTTTGGAAGGGAAGTTTCAAAATGAACTTGCAAGAAAATGGATGTTGATTACTCGTAACTCATGGCGACTTGATGCTATATGTTATTGGGTGTCTTATTTTAGGGGCAGGAAATGTTCCAACCATTTTTATAGGAGTGAAAGGAAAGACTCTTAACATTGGTGATGCATTTATAGCTTGTTTCTATGGAAATTTTTTAAAAAAGCATTTTATAGTTTGTGGAATACAATAAAATAGCAAAGGATCGTTGTCTGTCTATTTTATAGCAAAGTGATTCTTTGTTGCATTATTGCATATAATTTTGTTGTTGAAAACAATGAAAGAAAATCATGTGCAACTGTTATTACCCCAGATATGAGTATAGGTTGTGACTTTGATGTTTGACTGCCAATTTTCAAAAAATGGGTGTGGGTAGTTTCTGTAGAACTTTTGACATAAAGTTGGTCTGCTCGGAAGTTTTCTGTATATCAACGAGTTCTAATGAAGTACCAATCAGTTTGTTTGAGATTATTCTGTGGTTTAGGTTTTCTTTCTTTACCTCTGAGTAATTCTTCTTCTGGTCAATGACAGTCCCATTTGCCGCGTGAGTTTTTCTCCCTCCGCCATACCTGTGTAACTTCATTTTTTGACTTTTTCACATAATGAGAAAATTATGTGTTTTGGAATAAATTTCTCAACTAAGAGAGCAAAAGGGTGATTTGTTGATATCTTGGTTTCCATAACCAGCAAATTTCCCACAGCAAATTTCCCACAGAAATGAGAAGGCCCCTCAGATTTTGAGTGTAGGAGTATCTTTAGGAGGTTTTCAGTTAATGACTATTTACGATTAAAACCAATATTTGCTTGATTGGGAGGATATTAACATTCAAAGGTGAGGACTATAAGGCCTCTTGCAGTTTTTTTTTCTTCCGGGTACATTCATGATATGAGCACATTTGTTCGGTAAAACCCTTACGAACAAGCTTCTTCATTATGACCCATGGAGCCCCTAGAGGTCACTGTAGAGGTATCAGAGGGCGTAATCTGAATTATTCTATGGTATCTAAGGTGAAGTGGCTGGAGCAAGTACCATTAATATTTTTCTCTTGCTAAGGGAATCTATCCTATTTCGGATCCCCTTTATATGATGCTTGACCTGAAATTTGTGCGTAGATGTTTTGATGATGCTTAGGGTGAAAATGTCAATTGGAATGAGTTGGAGATGTTGTTTTTCTTCATATTGTTTTGATAATCAAAGATAATAGGTTCAAGGCTAATAGGTTGTTTAGGCACTAGTTTTGGATATTGCAAGAGCCATGGAAGGAGAGTGGGTTATTTGTGGTTACTTTTGTGTATTGGTTTCAGTCTTGGATAGAACTGAAAGATGTATGGCACCATCAGAGGAAAAATGATGTCCTTCAGATGACTCAGGTGATGTAAAAGGGATTCTCATTGTGATATGTTGGGG